AAAAAAAAGAACAAAAGACAACTCCCATCATCCCTCAAGTCTCAGTGGAGCTCTCCGCACACTAAAGGAGAAGCAGAGGCTGCCAGCTCTCTATCTGGAGCTCTTCTTACACATGTTTGTTAACCCTCAGGGTACAATGGATGCTGAGAATTACTCTTTCGTAACATTTGTTTGGCTGCCAAAAAGGAAAAATGATTAGCAGCTCAAAGGTTACACTGCTATATGTTGCAAGAGAAGCCCTTGTCATCGGCTGCCTCTCTTTTGCTGACTGCGGATGCGCCACCACAATGCTCAGGTGCCCGCGGGGCACGGGGGTTCTCTGCCCATTGCACTGCATGGCTCCAGTGATCCATCCCCATGCTTGTGGTGCAGTAGGGGAGATTTCTCCTGGTGTCCTGCAGGCACCTGTCTTCACCTCCTCCCATGGGTGGCAGCACCCAGACCTCGCCAGCGGCTACTTAAGGCCTCATCTCCCACTTCATCTGTATGACCGCAACCAGCTTTATGTTGTGCATAAAACACTCCCTGCTACACACAATGCTATTTCTATGCACTCTCGAGGGACTTCAGTATCTTGAAGACAAGTAAGATGATGAGTTTACAAAGTACAGCTAATGGTTTAGAAAGGGATTTAAAACAGGTTACTGGATTAATGACTGCTGTTTCCTTTATTAGCCTGTTTCTGTTTGGGGGCAGAGCTACTTAGATAGGATTTAACTCTTTTTGGACCATGGGGAACTCAGGAATTTGGTACTATAGTTTTGGAAGCCCTCTCATGGGTCTCAGAGCAGGCTGGAGTGACCACAAGATGCTGATGGCACTGCATTCAAGCAGCACCCATGCCTTACACATCCCCAGCAGCTGCCAGAATGGGAATGTCTTCTAGGCAAGAGGTGGTGTGCTCCAGCCCCTCACGCACTCAGCTCCTGCCCTTCTCTACCCCAAATCACTGCTTTGTGCCACCTTTCAGACACACTCACCCAGGGCGACTGCCTCTGCCATGTCGCTCTTCTCACTGGGCCCTCATGCCTGTATTTCATAGCAGGGGGAATCTGCCAAGGACAAGCCAAGTCGACCAAGTTCACAGACATCCTCCTTCATTTTGCTGTCTCAGGCCTCAGTCTTTTGTTGCACAGTGAAGGGGATGCTTTGAATTGCACCAAGACACACCTACACCTGCATTGGTTGAGGCATTTTGCAAGCAGAAATTGTTCAGAAGGGTAACTGAAACTGGCTCTGGATTGAAGCCTCCCTCACAGACTGGCACTGTCACATCACAGATGCTTGCTCTGTTCGTTATGTTGAAGGGTGTTAGCAGTGAAGCTTGAACTTTGTTCAGATCTTCCCTGAGTTTGGCAGTAGAAAATCCAGAGCTCTAATATTGGGTTCAGGCTGGTCATCTCGTCAGTCTGTGTCCTGCCAAAGTCACTTCACCGCTGATGATTAGCTTCTGCCTTTTCATCTCTCCGCAGTGAGCAGCTGATCCCACAGGGAAGTGTTAGGATTCACTCTGGGAGACCTGTGTTGTGCTCCCCAAAGCAGCCGTGGTGTGACCCATGCAGGCACAGCCTGAGGTTGTTCATGCAGACTGGAACAAGCTTTTTTTCTGCTGGTCGAGACGATACAGCCACTGAGCTGGGACAAGGCATTCACTGGGAAGCTGCCAGTCCAGCCCAGGGAATATTATCCACTGGTCAGAGCTCCAGACTGGGAGGCAGTGAACATGGCCCCAGCTCTGCCTTTGGTATTTACTAGGATCTTGGGCAAAATAGATCCTTAACCCTGTTTTTCATTTACTAAAAGGAGGATGAAAGAACTTCCCCCGTGGAGTTAGGTGTTAGATTAATTGTTTCATGATCATAAAGCCTTTGATATCTTTTAATCAAAGAGCTGTTAAGGGCTTTAAAGGTTGTTATAATTTGTGGAATAGATGCTAATTTTTTGTGTGCAGCCTGCACAGAATATGGAGTCTCTAATGTTATTTGGGGACAAAGTATTAAACGATCCCTTTTAGGTGCTGACAGAAGTTACTTTTAAGCCACATACATACACTGATTTAGAGTATATTGTACTTTAAAAGCTTCTTCACATCTCATTAGACTTTCTCTTCCTGAGTCACCTCATAAGGGGCTAATTTACATTGTCTAGGCCATTTCAGGGTCTGGATTTCTCATGAAAATATGTCTTGGTAGTAAAAGCACAGCCCCTTGTGCTCTCTGCATGAGAGTCACTAATTCTCTCCTCCACATCACAAATCCCAGGGCATGCTCTGAATCCCAAATAATTTGGGCTTAGAAAGAAATGAGGTGCACATTTCTTCCTTTGACAATTTTCATTTCCGCCTTGCCTTGCCTACATTTCTCCATTAAAAGAGGGCACCAGAGACTTTGCAACCCCCTCTAACTGGAATGAGCATAGCCTGAACTATATTCTGTATTCTCTGAGCACTGCCCAGCCTAACACTTGAGCCCACCCTGCCACACCTGAGCACGGTGGGTACCCCACTGCACTCACATGTAGCCCTCTTCATCTACAACCTCTGATGGGTTCAGCAGGAGCTGCTGGTGCTTTCACACCAGCAAACCACTCTGCACGCCCATAGCGGAAACCTGCAGCTAGGAAAACGTTTACCACCCACAGCTGGGTACAAAGGAGTTATTTTACAGTCTTACGAGAAATTGCAAAACTCATCTAGTACAAAATACATTAGTTTTGTCTTTGTGTCTGTCCTGAAGAGAAGCTCTTAAAACCTTGTAAAGCCAATTACGCTCTATCAAAATGAATTAGAGAAGTTGTTTATAGAATACCTACCGTGAGAATCTGGCTCAGCTTGACAGGCTGTATTTTTGTTATTATTATTTGCTTTACTGTTTGGTCTGTAGCTGTACAATGGTATTGCAAAGAGAAGATGCTGACAGGTCGTGTTCTGCACCTATTGGCAGTGCCACTGTTTCATATTCAAATGACAAATATCCTGGCAAAGCTGGGTAACTTTTACTAGATATTTCCTTTTTTTAGACATTGTTTTATGCCTCTTTGGAGCAGCCTTAAGCCTCTGAATTTCTCCAGTGGCACTGAAAGGATCAAATGGCCCCTTGCAGTAAGTACCACAAAGCTGTCCTTCCTTCCCCACCACAAACACTTCAGGTCATTCCTTCAGGGATGCACAGTACATTTCAGAACATTGTTCTTTGCTTTTGCAAGAATATGATGTACCATTGCTTTCCACTTTCAAGTTTTGCTTTCTTTCTGTAACAAATTACCCCAAATCCCACATTTTTAACATTTGCTGTACTAACTAGTACCAAAATAGAATTGTTTTAATCACTACTATTCATGACATTCCAAAACTTCAAATACTCTCAAGACCATGGAGGGAACGGAGCAATAGCAACTGCTTCAAATACTTTCAAGACCAAGTGGAAGGGGGCAATGGCGAAAGCAGTTAGTCTGGTTTGCCAAAGTGCCAGAGCCAAATGTTGCAGCCTCCAGCGATGGGACCTACTGCACTGCAGAAACCGGTTACCTCCTCTGCCTCACCGGAGGTGATCCGGTAACACTTCTGGCATTACCTGCAAGTTTCACACCAGCAGAAAGCATTAGTGGGGAATTTCCATGCATGCAAAGAAGTAGGTTGGTTTGTTGTTTGGTTTTGGGTTTCTTTGGTTGGCTTTTTTTTTCCTGTGGAAGAAGCCAAGGAAGTTTCCCATCCAAAAGGAAACTGAAATTTAATTTTTAAATTACCAAGACAAGGGCTCTGAAGGAAGGTTCAGGCAAGAAATTCTATTCTTCTGCGGAACTTTGCCCAGCATCCATTGAAGAGTGGACAAACATGATGCATTCATGCAAGAGCTGTCATTGTGCATCACTGGATCAGTGTTTCTGCCTGCAGAACCCTTGGACTCTGACTGCTCTCCTTCTTCCTCTCTCTTCTTCACACTCTCCACTTAGTTCTTTGTATACTGGTAACTTTGCAACTCCAGCATGAACTTCAAAGGGTGTACAAAAGAAGAATGGTGGTCAAGAGAAGATGCATGAAATCCTGCAGGGAAGTAGCTTCTTGCAGAGAACACTTCCAACCATGCTGTCCCCATGGGGAAAGCTCCCAGGTACCCAGCTGGGACACACTGAAAAAGCCATTGTTGTCCCATCTATGACTGAGTTCCCAGGGAGATGTCACTGCCAGGCTAACAAGCACTGAAGACGTTCTCTCTTTGTAACCAGGACTGTGAGATGTGACAGCTGTTCTGCCACAACACTTGCATCTATTCAGGGACTGGAATGGAAAAGCTGCTCTGAGGCTTTCCATAAGGGCACAATGCTAAAGGCTGCTGAATGCCATGATTTCTGGCACTGAACAACTCTTCCAGGCCCCTGCTCATAAAGTATTTCTCACTGAATTTAAGTATGTGCTTATGCATTCGGATGAACCAAAGCCTGTTGAATCAAAGGAGCTACTGAGAGCAGAGTAGCAGCTCTTCAAAATAATGTTTTTTTTCTTTTTTTCTCCCCTAAAAGTATCTCTTATTTGTTCCCAAGTCCTTATCTTGTTTACAACAAAGAATGAACAAAATTCCTTTCCCAAGGCTGGACAGTCCTGGAGCATATCCACACCAAACAGGGACAAAAATAAGCTTGATTTTAGGCATATTAAATAAGAAAATGCCTCTTACTCTCTTCACCTCTTTCTCCCCCTTTTGTCTTTTTCATTCCTCTGTACACAATAAACCTAATGTTTTATGGCCTTATCCAAAGTCTGTTGAATTTGATGGAATGCTTTGTGTTGGCTTGGATGGGGTCTGGAGCAGACCTGTAGGCAGAGTATGGCAATATCTTTATACGGGTTTCTCATCTACTGCCTAGAGAAAGGAATATTAATTATTAAAGTACCAGTCCAGCCCCCAGGAACTGTCAATATTCATTCTGCTTTGTTACTAAACTTAAAATTACTGTTTTCTCTCTGAACTTTCTTTAGGAACATAAAATCTGTGGAGGCTGAAGAGGTTTCCAATTTCTAGCTCATTTTTATATAACCTTCAAACCATAATTGCTTCAGAAGCACATCACACACAAAGGTAAGTACACAAACAGTAGTTTCCAAACACCATAACAAACCATCTTCAAAATGAACATCCCAAACCAGAAGCCCCACATGGCTGCAAGTTTGCTGCTGGTGATTTAATCCCTGTGAGGGCACAGCCTAACACCGGGGCTGGCAAGGGCTGCACAAGTGAGAGGCAGCACCAACCACTGCCAGGGCAGTGCCCTGGCCTCTTCCCCAATAAATCCAGCTGAATAAGTACAAGGCTTTGGTGAGTCAGAGGAATGCAAAATGCCCTTATGCCCTTTTATTTCTATTTCACATGAATGAGCTAGCACATTTTTGCCACCAAGGCCCTGACTCAGCTGTCACTGCCGTCTCACAAGGGACTGACCCCACTGGGGAGTTGCTTTGGAGTGCATTTTCACACTGGGACAAGCTCCTGGTCTCTGTGCCACCCAAGTCCCACTGATGGATGCACTGCACTGTCTGACAGTATTTTTCCAAGTCCTTAAGTGCTACCTCGAGCATGGCACACCTCTATTACACAAAACCGAGTCAACGAGAGGCTCTCTGAGCTCAGGTCCCATTCCCATACTACAAGCAGAGGGGTTACAATGGTTCTGATTCATGTATATATTGTCGCAGTACTCAATACACACTTTGAAATCTTAAAGCAGATTGTGACTTCTCATCTAAAACTAAAAGATACCAATACAGACACATCATGTGCTTTTGCAAAATGACAGAAAAACTGTTCTTTTCATATTACCTCAATGCAAACATGACTGCATTTTGCTTTTGAATAGCTACTGCTCTAAGAGACATTATCATCAGGTAAATTAACTTGCTACCCATATTTAGTCATTATAAATAAAAGAAGCAGACCAACCTGCATAGGTATTTGTTTTTCTTCTTTTGGAGTTTGCATGCTTCATACAGAACGAGTAGGTTTCAAATCTCACTGAACATTCTATGTGAATTAACCAGATTCTCGAGGAATGTGGAAAGGAAAATAATGAAAAGTACAGCTTTTCATTTGAACATATGCAGCTCTTTTCATGCAGGGTTTTCATTTTGGGTTTTGTTTTTTTTTCTTTTTTAAATTACACTTTGCATTAAAGAACACAGCCAGTGTAAACACAGTCTGTAACACTTAGAAAACAGTGCAAATTTTGTAAGTTTCTGGGAGGAGGTTGAAATACAGAGATTTATAATGGAGGTAAAATCACTTTCTTGGTATATTAAACACCTATATGTTCAGAACTTAACTTCACAAAAGAGCAAGTTAGAGTTCTATACTGTGTAATAGTATCTTTTCTAGATTTCCATTTTCAGTGTTAGTGTCAAAGGCATAATAATGCTAGGAAAAAATCAAGAGAACAACTATTATTTAGAACCTAATAAAAATCTTACAGACAATAACTGGTGTAAAGAGGGCACAGACTGAAGAACAAGGGAAAGAAGCAATGGAAAAATTCCGACCTCTATGAATTATTGCACATTTGAGATCATTCTCATAGTCCTTGGGCCAATTCTGGATACTTTTAAGTCTTAGGTCAGTGTTTGTTTCCATTTGGCTGTAGGGTGCAATTTAGGAACCATATCAAGGATTTACTGAACTTGTTTGCTGATGAAACCACAGGCAGCTGAGTGCAGAGTGCTAACTTTTATTCATGCAATCAAAGAGAACAATGCTAAAAACACTGGAATACAGGCAAGGTTGCCTGCCATAAAAATATTTTTGGGAACTTGATACAGCAGATCTTATTGAGACAAAACTCTCATGTCTACTGTGTTTCCATTAAAGCTGTGCCAAAACCTGCAAAACTGGCTTCTGTCTTCATTATTTAGAGCTTTTGCCTTGAATACTCTCTATGGTCTGACTCTGCAACCTTTAATCAACTGAGTTCGGACATCTCCATGAGACATACTGGTAAAAAGAAAACTCAACTCGCTGACAGTAATGCCTGATGCTGAGTATGTGTATAACACTTCTCATCCACAGGCAGCAAGAATGTCTCCCATGAAAAGTAAACGACAGTGCCCTATTTGACTGATGGGAACATTCATGTAAGGGAGAGATGCAAGACCTTACCAGCTGCTTAAAAAGATCACTTTTCTCTCATTGCACAGACAGCAGAAACGTTCCTGCTCCAGCTGTATTTAAAAGGTACATAAACTGACAGGTAGATAAACACAGAGAGGGAACTCTCTCCAGTGATTATCACTGAAATTGAAGTCATACTACCAATAAACCTGAATAATTCAACATTTTGTCTCTGAATATTGCTGTGATAATTATTTTCTATTGCTGATGTTCTCACAAAAAAAGTTAATTTCAAACTGTAACTACTGATACTGGAAAAAAAATCCTATGTAAAATTACATTGCCTTTGCTACAAATCTTAAAAGAGCTCAAGACATCTTAAGAAATTTCAGATTAATGAACTGACAGATAATTTTTTACTTAAATTGTTAAAAAAAGGCATTAAAAATCTGCAAAAAATCGTGAAATGCTCTATAATCAACAGAAAAAGTGTTTTAAATCCTCCTAAACATCCTCCAATACATGAGTAAGTTGTTAAATAAAACCACATTGCTAACCATTGACTAGGAATACAACATGCCTCAGTTATAAAATGAAGAGATGCTGTTGTGAGCAGGTGATTTATTCTGCAGTAACTGTTACTATGCACTTTACTGATAAAGCTTCATCTGCATTGTTTCAGCTGGTCATCTTCTAAAATGCATTTGCGAGACAATGTTACCGGGAGGTTTCCTCCCCCTTCCTTTTGGGAATGATTCATCTCTTGCGGTCTGTGCAGGAGATAATCCTTTTCGTTACATGATTAGAATTTCAAACTGTACTGAAGTCTTTATGAAGAACCCAAGAACTTCTGTGTATTTTGAATACTATTACTTAAATATGTGTGGATGTTGGAGATCATACACAGTAACCTTTTATCCATCCCTGATTGTAAACCTACTGTAAAATGATGGGTTGTGGTTTTTCTACCCCCCCTCCTCCTTTTGAAAGAAGCAATAAAACTGTACATTAAAAGACAGGAAGGACATCACCGAGTTACAAAAGAATGCCCCCTTTGTCATAATCTGTAAACAAAAAAGTTCAAGTAGAAAAGCAAACAAGTGTGCCGCTGCTTCGAGTGTTTTCTAACCCCATGGGGTTAGGGCAAAGTTCTTTAAAAACGTGTCTTCATGGTGGTCATGAAGCATCTCAAGAGTTCTGATCTTCACTACCAAATATCACTGGTGAAGCTAAGCTCCTTTGCTGATAAAGGTAGCAATGGGTTGTTCCTGTGCAACTCCTGGGGATCCTTCATGGCAGTGTTAAGAGGTAGCTGTCCATTTAGCAGTGTCAAAGGTATGTTACAGTACGTGTGATGGTTGCTTATGGAAGCTATTGGCAATGTTGCTGCTGACACATCATATTCATATCCTCTGCAGTAATGTCTCATATGCACAGAGTCTGCTTGATGGCAATCAGTTAAATCAGCCCGTGATTCTACTAATGTGGCAGAAGTGCCTGTGACGGCAAGAGAGGGTACAGTCTGGAGGTCTCCAAAAAGGCCCTGCTCTGCAGAATCCAGGACCTGATGTCGAGACACCACCTCCTTTTTCTTCCCTGGCATTTCAAAGACTAGGCGCTTCCAAAACTTAGAGTTCAGTTTGCTGCTTTTTGGTCCTTTCCACTTGACCACTGAGAGAAGTTTGATGGTGTGCTTTAAAGATTCCACTTCGTGATAATTCACTTTCCCTTTTAATTCAGTACACTCAATCAAAATAACTTTGATTTCTCCACTGACTAGCATATTATGAAGTCTGTTTTCCATCTCAAATATACTCCATCCTCTCCTGAGAACATAGTCTGGAGTTAACACGATAATGAGTCTTCTGCTTTGTTCAACACATCTTGTGAGATCTTCAATGTAGGCTACAAATTATAGAAAGAGAGAAAGAGTAAAGAATAAAGAAGTCTATTGTATCAAAACATCAGGCTTGCAATCAAGTATAACAAAATCCTACAGCTTACTATTCCATGCCATTTAAGACAAGGGGCATTTCACAATATACTCCAACAAAAACAGAATTGTGTATCAGAACTATTTCTATTTATGAAGTACATCTAGAAAACTCCTAAATAGCACCCTCCATCCTTTACTGTTTTTCCCTTTTCATCACAACAGAATGACATTTACATAATATCCTAACAGTGTAGATGCATTAGTGATCAAAAATACACAGTTCACTTACTGGAAAAATATAGGTCAAGATCAATGTAGTGCTTGTGTAAATTTTAACATTAACTCTGGTTACTATCAACATTGCATTGAGGGAAGCACACTCTGGGAAGCAGTTCTTGTGTGTCAGATGCAAGGACATGTGGGTGCTGGAGGGTGTATGAACCGTAACTTGCAAGAGTCAGAAAGAAAACAACCCTCATCGCATGCAGAAATTGTGCTATTCCATAGAAGCATCACGGTAGTAGCTCTTTTCTCCTTAGGTATTGACCACAAAAGTACAATAACATTCTTTGTGGCCCAATGGTCTGCTTTAATATCACAAACCTGTGCTTCTATGTACCCCATGGTATTAACAGAAACTTCACAAGTGACAGGAACAAATGGAAAACTTAAACATATTGGAGGTATTTATTTGTTGAGACATCAGTGACAAAGAAAGTAGTATTCTTCTTTTATTCACGTGTGCCAAATAGTTGCAAACAATCGCTGTAAGTAGAAATGCGAGCCCCATCAGTAGCTCCATGATGTCAGCTTACTGAACTACAAAATACTCTTGAAGTTGGACTTGGATGCCTGAGTTTCACTTGACCCAGGGATGGTAGGGAAGAGAAGCCAATTACACTTGTCTGCCATGGAACAGGATGGGAAAGAGATCTACTTACAGACCTGACCCGAAACCCATTCAAATGAACAGACTTCAACAAATTTCAATGGGTTTTGGGTCAAGACCACAAAAATGAAATCACTTGAAAAAGCCCCACTAAGGTCAGAAAAGTGTTCACTGGTTGCACAACGTTATGACTGCAAGCTTAGAGACAGGATACAGGGTTTTTTAAAACTACATGAACCTCTTGACCATGCTACTCAGAATGTGCTGCCTGACGACAGAAGAGAAGCATGTGTTATAAATGAAGACTTGGACACAAGAGCTGCACAGAACAGATCTTTACTCAGCACAGGGCAGGGCCTCTCTTACACACACTGCCCTCTAGCAGGAACAACAATTACAAATAACATCATTAATCAACATCTGTGACTCATTTTTATAGTCCCAGGCACCATACCACAGCATGCTTATTCACACCACTTCCAGTAAAGTAAATAGCTACAAAATAGAAACATTCTGAAATAGCTTATTTTCATGAGACTGAAGGCATAGTTAGCACCGAATCTGCCTTTACCGATGTTTTATTTCACCACTTAGCAGCAAGAAGAATCTCTTTCACAAACGGAAAAAAGAGGCAATTGCAAACATCCCACAGACACACAAAAATTTAAGACATACGCGTACATTACAAATGTCTATGCAACAATCCTGACTTTTAGTTAATGTTTTATGACTCTTTAATCATGCAGCATTTACAGTTTGTTTGTTGTTTTTTTTTCCTTAAAATATTTCATGAGGAAAACCCCCACAATGCTCTGTGTAAAATAGTTACTCATTAATGAAAAAAAAATTCAACATTAAAATCCATGGGAGAGGCAGCGGAAAGGGGAGAGAATCAGCAACAATGAGAAAATGATAAGCAGAACTGGTGAAACAAAACTTAAGGAAAGGTAGAAATGTTCAATACAATGGAAAGAGATTATCCCAATGTATCAACAGCTCAGACTCTTCATTTTCTTCCTTTCTTTCTGCTCCCAAAAAGAAAGAATTTAGGTGGGAAGCTTCATCATTAGAGGTTGAATCTGCAAGATACAGTAAAACAACAAACTATCATGCATCTTTCCTGAGACATATTCATCCCTCCTTCAAAAAAGCTCAGAACACTGCTATGTGCAAGTCAATTCTCTGCAGGACACAGTACTGGTCAGTATCACATATCCAGATTAGTGCTAAGCACAGCCATACACATCCTATATGCATCCACTTAAATAACCCAACAAAACAGTCACTCCACTTTCATCTCTTCAAATATCTAGCAGCAATAATTTCAATAGCAACAACCCAGCAATAATCCATTATACCATCTCAATCAAAAACTCACCAGACTTCACCTTAGTCAAACAGGGAGTAAGGTGGGAAGAAGACAGGAAAAGTTCCCTGTTTTCTCAAGATGGATACTTCTCCCCTCTGTGCCTTTCCTGTATTGGAATGTCCACCTTACTGCATATTACAACAAGTTAGAGCTCTCTCTACAGGCAACTCAACAGACACCTTTGCAAATGACCACCCGATGCTCCTCCAAATTCCAAGTTTGCAGCTGGTTCACTGACAGACATGGCTAATGTATAGGGGTTCTGTTAGTGCACTGAGGATAAAATACACTGTGTTACAGGAAACTGGAAACTCAAATGAAAAGGCAAACACATTTTCCAGCCATCTGGTCCAGAAGTATTTAGTACTCAGTAACTTCAGCTTAACTGCTAAGGCTTAGATTACTGGTAAAGGTAGGTGACAACTTCCCTGGTGTACGTGGTTCCATCGGGTGCATTCTACAGCATGTCCAATATGCACAACTTAAGCATTTCTTCAAGGAAAAGCATGGGGGGACATATTCCTGTCTGCGGCAATTTCAGCTTTATTTTTTCCAGTGACTGGAAAAGTCAAGACTGACTGCATAAACCTGGGGGTTGCTAAATCACCCCCTCTCCTTTTACTTCAGAGTTTGAGACTGCTCAAAATACAGCAGGTCCGGTTGTCTGCCTTAAGTGCTTAGTCCATTCAAAGGTATTAAATCCAAGCAACCTATATTGGAATGTAGGATGCAGAAAGGGTTGTTTTCACCTTTCCAGTGAGCTAAGCAGTAACTGTCAGGCAATGGCTCTGTTTCAAGAAAAAAACTGAGCAAGGATTTCAGGAATGACAACACCAACTAGGATTAACTGTAAGACTCCAGGACAACGTATTGCCATCAGATAAATGTCATTTTGCTGAAAATTCACTTTTGCTGCAGGAGGTGTCAACTTCAATGATATTTCATTGTAAGGGGAGAAAAAAAGTCTTCACAAATCAGTATGGAATTATTAATTTTTCGTTCCCAAGGATCGTATTTTACCATAAACTAGAATGTAAAAACAAAATGTCAGCATTAGTGTTAACCCACCTGGTTTTATCGAAAAATAACATTTTAAATTTTGACCCTTTTTTCCCCATTGAGACACTGTTTTGCAATAATGCACAAAAAAGTTTTTCAAACTGTTAACAGTCCCCATAGGTCAAAAAAATTAGAATTATGAGTAGTTCTATCAGTAACTTACATCATGTCCTAGGCAGTGCCCAGGAGGGAATGGACAACAAGAACTTTTAGACCCATAAACATAGTTCATGAATGGTGGCCCTTTAGTAGTGAAGACAGATCCCCTGACAGCAAATACGTGCTCACCAAACACTTTCAACATGTGACGATGCTGAAATGTAGTTTGAAACACTGAAGAAGTCCAAGACATGCATCCCATTTGCAATTAAATCATGCATAACTTCTTCCTGAATCTTGAATGAGCTCCACTAACCACAGGCTGGAAGGAAACCCAGACACCCTAATATGCAGGCAGACTAAGAGCAAGGAAATTAATGAACACCATGGACACAGAGTTGCTCACACAAAGAAACGACTGACTAACCAGACTCAGATGATTTGCAGAAGCAGTAGATGGAGAAACATCAGAAATCATATAAAGTCCTATGGATACTTTTGGGAAGCATGGTTGCACCACAAGAACCAAAGAGTACCATCGACCCCATACTCACTGGTTCCTGGCACCAGCCTTTTTGTGTTTGGCAACTATCAGTTGAGAAAGTTATTTACAGAAGAATAATTCAGTGCTGGTTTCCTAACCAAATGGTTCCCAAGCCCTAACTCTGATTATTTTATTATAACAAAAAAGGATTGCATGTCTTGCTTTTACAATTTCTTAAATATCTGTTGCTTCTGTTAGCTCACGCCAGAACAGCAATGCAGCTGGAATGCTGAAGCACAGAGTGATGGCCCCTCCCAGAGAGAACCCACTCCCACTATAAGCTAAGGGACAGCTAATGAATTCAACATGAAGGAACAAATAGTGCAGCTCAGCATGATGCACTGTCCTCTCAGCATATCACTCCCTTAAGTGTTGCCAGACTTGTGTTTGACATGGCAAAGGAAAGAGGGATTAAGGAGAAGGAAAAGATGGTGGCTCTGGGGATGTCTCCTGGCAGACTGAAGTGTCTCAAGTGGGTAATTTTGGTTAAATTGTTTTGGTGACAGATGCTGGAATCAAGATGCTGGATATTTAGAATCCAAGATTCATAGACTCATACAGGTTATAAGGGGCTCTGGAGGTCTCCAGGTCAGTATCCTACCCAAAGCAGGAGTAGCTAAAATTACTAAGGGCCTTGTCCAGTATAGTTTTGAAGATCTCCAGGGTTGGAGGTTTATTCTCAGTGTCTCTGGGTTCTGTTCCAGTGTCTGACCAGCCCCATGTTGAGGAAAATTTTCCAAATGTTTAAATGGAATTTTCAGTGTTGCAGCTGGTACCTGTGGCCTCTTGTCAACAACCGTGCACCTCTGAGAAGAGTCTGTCTTCATCTTTGTGCTTCCCACTGGAAATCTTATTATTAAGATTCCTCCTTGGCTTTGTCTCTGTCTTTTCTTCAAAAAATACAGTTCTTTTGGGCTCTTCTTTTATACTGTGTGCTCTAACTCCCTGATCACCTTGATGGTCAGCAGCCAGTCTTTCTGGCTTGTGTTCATATTTGTTCCACTTTCAACTGTCATTCCTTTTTATCCCTGTTACCTTCACCCACGCCTGGCGTGAACTGCAAGATACATATAGAGCAGACAAGCAGGGACTTGTGAAAGGAGTTTGTGGAGCTGGGTACTCTATTCCCATTCCACACGAATGGTGCCTCATACCTAATTAAGGCTCCTTGGGAACCCCAGGCACATAGTCCAACTGGGTTTTCATCATCCAGAAATCCAAGAAGCTGGAATTCACCAGGCAAAACCCACACAGATGGGCAGACAAAACTACAAAGTGCCAGAACCGCAATATTGACTGTTGGGTGCTTTTTATCACACACCTGAGGTGCTCTCCTCTTGTGCAGATACCCTTTCATTTTTCAGGTAAAAGCAAAGATTTTTATTCTGTCACCGTTGTTCTTTTCAGTGCCTGAACTCTACACCCTGGGCTGAGCTGGAGTGAACTGTTGGTGTTTTTTCAAACCTGTCAAGATCAAATGCACATATACTTTAGAGAGCAGCTAGATGATGCTCTAATAGATTTGTATGGCTGGTATTAAAAATCCAACTTGACAGTTTTGACCTCTTCACTTTCAGAGTTTAAAATAATTTGCAGGAACTATGTGGGAGAATATCTTCCTCTAATGTAGTCCCAAATTTAGAAAAGGTAAGTGCAAACAGATCTTTTTCTCTGCAGACACATCGTCCTTAGCAAGACAGAAAATGGCTCAGGTAAAAACATTACTATTCTTATTTCTCCCCATCCTCATCTATTCAGTCTCCTGAGATCTCCTAAAACTGAATTAAAAAGCTCACAGGGCTTGAGACCACTTGGTCTCAAGGAAAGGGTTTGTTAAAAAAGCCCTGAAAACTAATAGGGTGGAAAACCTGATAACTGAGAAACTTTAATAACAACTGCAACTGTATCTTAGAGATCACAGTCTCCGGGCTGATGCTCAATTATGCTCACTTGCCTAGGTGGAAAGGTGTATGTGCTGTCAGCTTTGACAGAATGAAGAACTCTCACTCTGTTAAGACCAAAGAATATTCTTGAAGAAAGAATAGCTGTTATGGTACCTTCTATTACATACAGCTGAAATCCTGGGTTACAAACTTGGTGTTCCTGCTTACACAGCACACGGCGTGTCATGCCTCCCTGCCATCCCACCCGCTCAGCTTCCATTTTGCATGGCCACGTGGGCTTCTGCAGGAGCAAGTGCAGAGAAGCGGTGGCTGCTTAAGCCCCTTTTGCACCTCACCTGTCTGGGGAGCCAGATCCACCCATGCTGCGCTCAGGCAGCACCAAGAGTCCTTGCTGGCCACCATGTGGCAGGCACCACCAAGGCCCTTGGAATCCTTCATGGTGGTTTACCCACTAGGACCAAATGCTCCTCTGGGATAACATTTCTATCCTGGCAGGGCACAGAAACAAACACCTACTGCAAAACATGACTCAGCCTCATCTGACCTGAACTCGGGATGCCAGAGATCTGCTTCCCAGTGGTGCAGAGGAGGTCTCAGACACCACAGCCATCACCTCTGTCCTCCTACAGAGGGACAGCAAGTTACTCCATGGCCATCCCTGCAACAGACCTTTCTCAGCGAAGAGCTGAAATGCAGAGATCAGATACGCAGTGTGAAGGAGCTCGTTGCTGGGGTGGGTGTCCTGGCTAAGGCACATCTGGTGGTAATCTCTCCCTCGGCTGCACGGAACATGCAGAATCTAACATAGCTTTTTCCCAGAGGTTAGAAATGCACCAACTAGACAAAAACCTAATCAAACTTGTCCCCGATTTTTCTGAAGCCAGCTTTTTAGTTTGTTCAGAGAAGTGTGCAAGAAAGTTAATGAAATACTATTTAACAAATCTGTTTTCTGCTTGCTCTCAAACCCAAGCAGGAGCTGTATGTATTGCTTCATGCAAGGAGCTAAGCACAATAATACACACCCTCCTGTGGCAGCACTTTAAAATTGCAGAAATTGTATGAAATCACCAGGCTTACAAAACACACCTAATTTGCTCTACTAGTGGAATGGCACACATTTAAGTCCCTAAGATACAGAAGGATCATCAAAACAGAGAGGTGGAAAGCATCATATTACGCTGAAAGTCACTTATGCCAAAATACAAGGAAATCTACTACATGTGAGAAGAGACTATTTCCTAAAATAAAAAGATAACTGTGATCAAACCCTCATTTTTCTATCAGAATCTACCCTGAAGAGCTATATAATTTGTCATATCTGCCACTTTTTGAGACAGTCACTCTAAAATACATTATGTTTACCTCTGAAGTCTCTAGCAGCTCCACAACACATCACATTGTTTTCTTCACTAAGCACTCCAAGACCTTGTAAGACTGGTAAGTTTTAGGCAGAACACAGCCACATTCCGCTTGTCCAGAGCAAATGGAGAGCTTACAAATACAGGCATCTGAGTCTTCCCATCCTTCCTATTCTGTCTCCTTCCCTCTTGCCCCTTCAAAGTAAAGTGCCTCCTCCTGTATCTTTTTCAAAGCTAAAGCATGCAAATCACACTCATTTCAGTTCCACATTTTATTCTCCATTGTCATTATATCTGATTAAGCGTTCTTGAAGCTCCACGTGTTAGAATCAGGCCCTTTCATAATACTGAAGAAGTGAGCTTGAGAGGAAAAAGGAGGTATTAAATCCGTGAATGTTCATAAATGAGAAGTGACATTTTCAGGTACCCTACATTTGCAGGAGAGGTTTAATGAATACCCAAAGTGATGACAAGTATTTGCTGAGTGCCTGTCTGACAAAAATAGACAAAAATAAAAACCATACTGTCTGGTACAGCAACTGGGAAGAAGAATCCCATTTCAGATTAGTCTGTGCTTTGATACAGTTACCACTGAAGGGCTAGTTTTCAACTCCTTAATTCACTTGTATAATTGCTATGTATTACTCTGTTATATTGCTGGATATGAAATAACTATTTACAAAGGTTGTGTGATTTTTGACACATACTAATACCTAAACCTACTTGCTTGTACAGAAGGTGTCTATAAGCCAAGTCCCCATTCTGGAATATGTCACTAAGGGAGTAAACTTCAGACCTTGCAAGGGTAGGGCAAAAGGAGTAAGGGAAGCAGCTCTAACCTAGGAGCTGCAAATGCACAGGATAAATTCAAGCCTCTACACAGGACTTTCCATAATCTCTGCCTAGGCTCTGACTCCCCTTTCCCAGTAGTGGAGGATTCAGAGCGCTGTTTCTAGCTCCCCCAGATGTCAGAGAAGGAGGCTCCAACTTCTGGAGCAGGCACTGGGGTTTGCAGCAGCAAGGCAGCAGTTTCAAGTCTTTTGGCAGGCAGGTTGCTAACACAGTCATGTTCAAGTAGTTTCACGTTTGGGGACATCTGCTCCAGTGCGGCCACGGCTTTGTTTTCCTGGTTTTATTTCCTATACAGTCGCATTACACAGAGAGAAGTTCCTATTCTTTTCTAGTAATTTTTCATGGAAGTGATTTACACAGAATTTGATAAAAAACCTTATTTTTCACAAGGGTAGCATTTCAAATAAATGTGATATTATAGCAAACATACTGAGCATTCAAAATCACCATCACTTGTCCAAAAATGAGTATGAAATGATAGATGCCGTAACTATAGCTAGAAAGGCATTAACTGTTGGTGCAGCAATCCAAAGGAGTTGCTGCATCTTCAGACAGGGCAGCCAAACTGATTTGAAATGAACAACTGTATTTCATGATCAGCATGGAAAATAACTTTGGATCACTAGGCTGTACGGAGTCCTCTGAAGAATTGGTATCACACATACCAATTATTTACACAATACCAACACTGCTCAGAAACACAACACTTGGTCAAAACTCTAATGAAAACCTTGCACCTCTACCATTAACTGAGAAACTACTGTAGCTATTTACAAGACTTCACAGTTAGGATAAAAAACAGAAGACTATGGGAAAGATGACTTTACCTGTAAAGCTGCTGTAGACAAGCAAATAATTACTGGAAAAAAAGAAAGAATCCAATTTCCAATGATAAAACAGACTAGAAAATTTTTCTTGGAAGTTTCCTGCCTAGCTACCTGTGTCTGATGTAGAGATTTTGGACTACAGTATTGCTTGCAGCACACTGGCCTTCCCTGTAGAAAGGTCCAGCTCCTGCCTCCACTGCAATCAATGGCAGTTCCCTCTGATTTCACTGGTGCAGGAACAAGCTCACACCTAGAGTTCAAATTTGTAGTACTAAAGAAACCTTTCCAGTTCTCACAACAACTTCACAAAGAGAGGTTTCCCCTATCTAATACTTATCACACAGTCCAGGCCTTCATGACACATCAGAGAGAATTAAAACTGTAAGGTCAGAAATACCTACTTCCACTAGGAATCAGGTCCCTATCCGGAATGAAGAGCTTATATCCGTAGTGCTTTTCTAGAACATCCGGCAGAATTTCAAGTGCAAACTGCTCCTCTTCATTATTATCACAATCTAACGCGTCAGGATCCACTTTGGTGTATGAAAGATATGCATCATATTCCTTGTTGTCTGTAAGAAAACAAATTCATGTTCACTCTGCTTTTTGCAAGAGCACTAAAAAAAAAAACCAGGGAAATCATATTATTCTTTGAAATAATCAAGCATTTCCCAACAAAATTGTGACTTTTCACAATATATAATCTAGTTTCCACAGAGAAATTTTTCAGGTCCAGACAAAGGATGTCCTTTCAGTTTTCTTCTGCTCGTTGAGCTAGTTAGTAACTGCTCCATGTGGTTAGTGTACACAGTTCTCATCCAAACAGACCACGGGCAAAACTTTGATATAAATCCTAAAGCTGGAACTTTTCATTTTAATCCTTTACATACTGCTAATGGGAATCTTTCAAACCCATGCCTCAAGAGTGCTGTGATTATGTGGAAGCTTTTAGCTCGGAAAAGTTTCTGAACCTGGAAAGTTTGTAAAGTTGTGAGCAAAAAAAGCTTTCTTGCATGAGTAATTGTGAGAAAAGACTTGACTTAAATGAATACTGATTATGCAGAAATCAATGCCAAATACAAATAGTCCAAAGCATATATATATATATTTTTTTTTTCCCCAGGAAATCTTGTAGTTTTTAAAACCAACACCATCATTTTAGAGGTCATTTGGTCCAGGGCACTTTAAATACTTGGAGCTGACAATACGAGAGAAAGAGTAAATGGAACACAGGGGGAAAATTGCCCCTCCATTCTGCCTGCAGCCCAGGGGTGGAGGCAAAGCCTCATCATAAAGTGGAGGGAGGCAGTGTGTGACAGACCCAGGTAACACCACATGAGGACAGCAAGGCTGCAACACACCGGTTTGGCTAGAAAGGGCGAACACCACCTCCTTCCTCCTCCTCCTGCACTGGACTAGGGCTTGTCTCCAGCTCCCTGCATCTGAAACATGGAGCTAAGAGCTGGCTACTATGCCAGGAACAGAAGTGGCACCACTATTGAGCTTGGGATCCATGCTGGGATCAGACTGTCTTAGTGACATTTCTCTTTGTTCTTCCTCTGCAGTAATGAAAAACAATATATTGAAAAAGTCAACCTTCAGCAATTCAGTCTCCAGGGAAAAGCACAGCTGCCATTATTTACAGACAATGAAAAATCAAACAGTTAATGCTGTGAGGACAAAACTGCATGAATAGAGGATTGCCAAGTACAAATTATCTATGAAGAATAATACCCATGAAAGATAATTAAAGCAGTTAAAAATCCTCAATATGTTCTAACAAAAAGAAAAATAGCTGTTCATAATATAATGCAGGCCTTGATGACCTTGGAATGTGATTGCTTTCTTATAATTCTTGACACAAAGCCAGATCCATGAGGGTCAGAGCTACAAAGCATGTGAAGGCAATTTGGCCAGTGTCACCATAGTTGATGTCCACCTGGCTTGCTGATACCTCCCTGAAATCAACAGCATGCAAAAATAGTAGTTACTGATGGAAAGATGACAGAAGAACAAACAGCAAAGTCAGCTTTGGAGGCCTGTCCAAAACCTGCTACCCTGTCCATAATGAAGCCTGCCAAAACCTTTTAAGAGCAGCCAGCCACCAAGTGATCCGGGCAGAAAACATCCCTGCAAAGGCAGCAAAACCAACCCCAGAGCACTGACATGCCTGGTTATATTGTGTGCAAGCAGTCCCTGAGCTTCCTGCCCCTTCCAGCTGCGTGGGTACAACCGCCTTCTCCAGTCACCTCAATTCACAATACAAATAAGCAAAATATGCACAGAATCAGTTACCGCAGGCTCCTGTGAGTCTATACACTTGTGTTACATCTCTACAGCCTCAACTCCCTCTTCACAAGCTTCACACACACAGGGCATAGCAGAAGGACCTATCCATGCCTCCCACTGCTTGCTCCATGTGCTTTGGGTGCAGCACTGTTTGGAGTCATTTCCTGAATGGCTTTGCTTAATCCTTAGCATTATTCTCTTTAAAAACAATGCTACACACAAGACAGGAAGTGAAAGCATCCAACACTGCTTACATAGGATAATTTCAGAAATAGGAATAAAGCAAATGTGTTAAGTTCCAAATCTTCTGTTTTAAAGAAATACATGTATAAATGGAAGATGACCCTGCAATTGCATCTATGTAGCTGACTGCTCATGGGATCTCTGTATGTTCCCACTTTAGCCTCTGTAAGTAGAAAGAGACATCCCCGATTACACTTGGACTTCAGTAACACTCTGCCTCCATCTTCCATTCTGCAGGATCAGAATGGGAAACAAAGCCACAACAGTACTAAAATCATGCACTGGAAAAATAAAGTTGCTCTCAGAATTAACAGGTACACATATTCTCCCAAGTACTCATGGGGCTTCCCCTAACGCAACTAGAAAATAATCTTGTTTCCTAAATTAAAAGGTGATTGAACCAAGGAAGTTACATGAACAAAAATGTAGCAACTTCACACTGAAAACAAAAGATGAATCAAAGCAATCTGGAGGGAGTTACCACTTTGGGTCACTGTTTGTTGGTGTGAACCAGAGAGGTTATGTCGGTACAATCCCAAGGTGTTAGAAGTAAATTACTTCCAAACCCCTTCATTTTCTCCCAGGTATCAGTATGAATACTGTGCAGTATTGTCCCATTTGCTTATGGCATGGCCCAGTGACATTTCAGTGAAAAGACTCACTGATTTCAGGGGGCTTTAGGAGAAAGTCTTAGGGCTTTACACTGCTGAGGCTTAGTAGTTTGAACTTAAACTGGCAACAGGTATCTCTTGGTATTCATTTCAATCTACAAGGTTCAGCACTTTGGGTCTATGAAATATTTTCATCGCATATCTTGAGTTTCCTGAGCAACTGCTTACCATCAGCTGCTTCATCTCCTCCAAAGTTCTGTCTGTAGAACAGCATTAACTCTATGTTGTAGCACTTATAGATGGTCACGAGCAAAATAAGCAGAAGAAGGATGGCTCCCAGTCCTCCAGCAAGCTCTATTTTGTAGATCAAATCTAAAATTAGCAAGGAATGAGAAAAAGGTTATGATCTTTCCAAGCTTTATTTGCTCTAACCCACTGTATAATTCCACATAAAACTGCAGCTTCCAATTACAACCCCTGTAACATCAAGGATGCTTACTTTCTTTATTCATTACCAATTACATAACTTTACCCATTTACTCCATCTACTGCCCATGTGAAATCACCATCCAGAATGCATTTGAGGCTGTAATCATAATTCTTCTACAAGAAAATTGTGATTTTACACAGAGGATTAATCAACTTTTAATGAGCTTGTGGAGTTTGAAACTTCTGTATGGCAGAATGCATCAACTGTTGTATGCAGCATGTGAGAATAGATACTCTAAACATATTGTACACCATTTGGAAGGCTGTTGTCCCCCCAAAACCATCAAGCTTTGGTTTTGTATTTGTGAAGTCAGTGGAAGAGCTGATGTGAGCTGTCAAACCAGGACTTCAGCTGCATCACCGGAGAGTGAATTGAGCATCCAGAATGCCCAAGACAACTTGAGAAGTGAGGAGCACACATCAGGCTGTTAAGAGCCACTTTGAGTTGTGATGGCTACTTATAACAGAGTTGTCACATGTTTGTTTAGGACACATTGTAGTTTGATGGGAACTAGTGCTAGTTAAAATTTCCTACTGGGATGCTTTTGTTAGGAAACATCACAGGCAGTCTCCCTCAAAGACCTTCACAAATTCATCCAAACCCAATTACCCATCTTTCACAGCTGGGGAAACAGAGGCATACAGAAGTGAAACAACATGCTCAAGGTCATTCAGCGAACTAATGCCAGAATGGGATAAACAACTTGAATACCAGTCTAGCACTCTACCTGATATAAGACACCAACTTTAAACAGTGTTGCTTTTTAGTCTGGAATGTCCCCTGAACACAGTATTTGGTGTGTTACTTAGCCACAAAAGACAGAAAATAAGAATTTGACAGTAGCTACCTCTAACAGCCTATATTAGTTTAGATAAGACATTATGAAGATATTTACTGCTGTGAAAATTACAATGTGCAAATGTAAAAACTGTAATGCAGGCGAGACAGTTTTTGTGATCTTTACACTTCTAAAACTTAGGTCAGAAAAAACTACTGGTATGTCATTTGTGCCATTTTCAAGATAAAAAGCAAATTAGTTGTGTATCTTCTGGGGTTGTTCTTGTCTCTCCATGCCTTGGATTTCAATAATTAACATCAGATGTCAAGCTATTCCCAGTTTACAGCATCTCTGATGTCTCTCTGGTAAGAAGTCATGGACTAATAGATGGAAAAAGTCTATTATAATAGCTATTTAATCTCTCTGAGAACACAGGAAATTCATGGGACTTTTATTACACTGCACGATAAAGTTAGCATGTCGTCTGGGGATAAATCGGGACAAGTGGAGAACAGAGCTGGTTAAAATCCCTTTTCAGAGAAAAAACTTTCTGTTGTTGTTGCACAGAATCTTTTGTTAGGAAAGTCCCATTTTCTTGCCTACCCCAGCTTTTAGTCTCTGGATCTGATTCATGCCTCGAGTGGTCCTTGCTGAGGTCAACAGGGAAGGCAGCACACCCAGCATTAGGAAAGGAGCTGAATCTGGGCTTTGTGTTATAACAGTGACTGAAAATTAGTAAATAATATATTCTGATAGTTTCTAATTAGAATAATGTAGGACTTAGCCACAGTCTATCACAGAGGATTATGGTCTTTATAATAGCAAGTCTCATTAGCACCCAATAAATGAGGCACAAATATATTTTAGAATGTTCTTCACCATTTAGAACTATATCAGTATCAAAAAAAACCCAACCAAAATCAGTTTCCTGCATGTCTTGAATAAAGGCAGCCTCCCTGAAATAAATGGTGAACCATCATCATTTTTACTTTTATCTAAATTCACTGCTTCTTTCCACTGAAAGTACAGATTGATTTTTGATTTTATTTTGCAGTTCCCGATATGTTATTCACGCTCCAGGACACTGTATTATAGACTATGTAGACTTATAAGACTGGACAGTTTTCAAACTTGTTTGAAGGGAATCCTGAACAACTAAGGAACAAGGGGGTGTATATTGAGTTCCATATAATTTGAGCACCAAACATGCTAGGAGAGCATGGAGGAAAGGAAGCAAATTAAGGAAGCTCAGGATTGTCCAGAACTTACTTTTGGAGTACTTGAAAGCAAATATCAGTGTGGTGTTGAATTTAGTCAGTAAAGAAGAATGTGATAGCAGGCAGTGTATTCGTGTCTCAGAGCCATGCCTGGTTCTGTCTTTGCATTGGTACCCTTGGGTGTTTAAGCTGGATTTGGCTGTTTTTCAGTAAAAGAAAAAACCAAAGAGAAACCCCAATATCCTAAGTGATGCTGTATGTTCTGGGGCTACCACTATGCTGGTGCTGCACAGACAGCACTCCTCTGTTCTCTAAAAGCATGTGTGAGGACAATACCACTAATACAGCAGAAGACTTCAACAAATTTTACCTTAAATGTTTGAAAAGTTCCTTTTTCTTTCTTAAAGCAAAGCATGTGCTTAAAAATAACCACCTGATGTCAAGACAAGAACTAACTCTAGAAAATCTCGTACTTATAGCTATAAATTCAAGTTGGGGTTTATTCCTGTTTCTTTATCCATGCCTTCCTAGCAGGACCCGTGACTTATGCTAGCTTGTTTACACCTGATGTACTGCAATCACACTTTTGAACAGGGGGCAGACATAACTGGCAGCACTGTGACAACCTGGAGACAAAACAGAGCTGCAAGTACCTCTTGCCGAACAGGGATAACATAACCCTCAGCGTGCAAGACTTTAGAGGAGGGGGATTTCCCTGGCTGAAAGGTATGTGCTTCTTCTTCACCTTTCCTAAGCATCGCAGCATCTGGAAAGCTGTAGCATATGACAAGAGAAATCCACAATGCCTTCCTTGACACACAGAGAGGATGCTGGTCAAAAGCTTTATACCAGTCTTGCCCTAAATCTTGTCACAGGTCAGTAAATACAGCAGTATTTTCTGGCTCATGAATATTCTACAGTCCAATCCAAGCTGTAGGATAAGAAGTATTTAAATAAAGTCGCAGGAAGGCAAAGTTTGGTCAAGTATTTGTAAGAATTTCATAAATAACAGACAGGACAGTGGGACATGCAGTCAAAGGACATAGTGAAAGTACTGTGGTTATTTTAAATGACAGTTTAATAGCTTGAAAATCAATTATTGAGAATGCCTGAGAGGAATATAAGCTTTCTACAGCCACAGTGTAGAGATAAATGAAATAGTAGCTGAGAAGTGAACCTTTCCACCTCCAAATTTTGTATTCAGCAGTGCTTCTTCCATAATTTCAGCGAAGCTCTGAAATATCCCATCTTCTTGTTATAAATAAACCTAACCTGTTATTCTAATATATGCAACACAGCTGAACATTTAACAGTGCCAACACAGATACGCTTACTAACAGTTGTATATTTATGAGGTTCAGTGGATGGAAAGGTAGAATGCTTTTTGCACTTAAGAGGCTAATCCTTCATCATGATGACCAGATTCCTTAATTTAAGTTGTGACATCCTGTCAGTTTAGATGTTGAATACACATTTGTGTGTGTTCCAAACCCCAGCTGTGGGCCCTTGTTTCTCAGAGCTGATTGTACCTTCTGTATAGTGTTTTATACTTATGCCTTAGTGTAAAATATAACCTACGTTACGCCCTTCTTTCTGGGAGGACATAAAACTCTCACATATAGAGAAAACTGTGCAAGTAGGACTTGATTCATAGACTCATAGATAGTTTGGGTTGGAAGGGACCTTCAAAGGTCATCTAGTCGTCCCCCCTCCGCATTGCAATGAGCAGGGACATTTCAACTAGATGGGGTTGCCCAGAACCACATCCAGTCCGGCCTTAAATGTCTCCAGGGATGGTGCACCTACTACCTCTCTGGGCAACCTGTGCCACTGTTGTATCACCCTCATTGTAAAGACTGATTTTGACAAGACTGTGTACTGTATTTTCACACACATAACCTGTGGGTCACATGAAAAATAGCAAAAAAAGAGGACACTGACCCAAAAGTTTCCTCTCCCTAGTAGCCCTTTTTTTTGTCCTAATACCAGCCCACCCTCACCTTTCATTTTATATAGATTCTAGCCATGAAACACAGCACCTAGAATCCAGCATGGCTGTAGGTAAACAAATGACTACGGAATTTTTCCAGAACCGCAGTGCCCTATCTAGATAGGCCTTGGCTGCTCTTCCTGATCTTCCACCTGGGTCCTAATTCATCTGTCCCACGGTGATGATGTCAATCTGCAGCATGCTCAAGAACTAACAGTATATTTAAATCTTTTCTAAATGGCAACACTTTTGTGGGATTTTGCTGCAACGTGATGACGGGGAGCGCTGGCTTTTTTAATTGATGTTAACATTGCAATACACAATCTGCTGAGAAACGCATCCTTTGCCTTAGTGGTCTAGAAGTGTACAAAGAACTGGAACAGCATGAGGAGTGCCTCATGAAAATATTTCTTCTCTTCTGGGAAGTTAATTTAGAGCTAAGAATAATAACAGAGATCTGGACAACGTCTTCTTTAGTCCATCTCCTGTGCTGATGGCTCTGTGGTTTCACGTTACATCTTTATCCCAAGTGGTTACATTCCTTTGCTTTCCCAACAGTTAACTGTCTTACTGCTTTTGTACTACCTAATACACTGTATCTCAGAGAGATCATTATCAAATTTAATTGTCACCCTACTTACGAACAGGAGAGGTGACCGAACAAACAATATAAAAACGGTAATGAGATACTGTTACACCCTTTATAATAATGACTTCTACAACCAGCAGAGCATAGTAGTACCTTTCAATTTGGAACTTTCAAATTCAAATGGTTTCTTTTCTGCTATGGATAACTTGTCAGTAGTGGTATTCCCAATTCCAGGTACAATACCAAGCGAAGCAACCATAATAGGGTAATTCTCCGCTGATTTGTAGTTCCCACTGCAATGTTTTCATTCCCGATGCAGTTAGAAATCAAAAAGCATTCTAAGTGTTTGAAGCTTTAAATTCAAACAGCAAAGCCAGGAAGTGGAGAAGCATAATAATATCTGACCTCATTGTTAAGGCACCTATTCTAAGAAATGAGTATTTTAACTCCATCACACAATTACCTCTGGTCTAGTCAGTCAAATCTAGGTCCAATTTATAGGTTGCTTAGATAAAAATACTTCTGCTGATTATAGTGGTGTTTTATGGGTGACTGTATTAAAATCATAGAATCATAGAATAATTAGGGTTGGAAAGGACCTTAAGATCATCTAGTTCCAAGTATTCCAGGCAAGTGCATTACCTGCAAGGCTGCTTCACTAGAAACTAAAGAACAAATCACAATTTTTTTCACAAGTGGCAAACTGAAGCTGTAACACAAAGATATTTCAGCTACAAGTAGGACCACAGGAGCCCAGCCTGGCTCAGAAAGGTCAGCAGGATGTTTGCTGCTGGCTGAGCGGTTGCTGCTGAGGCAGACGAGAGTACAGATAATGAAATAAAGAGAATTACCTTTCTTGCGCAGAAGAACACTAGCATGTTTCCGTCCGTTTCTGTTTTCCACATGACAAGTATAGTTAGCCAGGTCTGCCTCCTCTACAGCATCAAAGATCAATGTCAGTTCAACTTCTTTTTCTCCAAGATGTTCTCTGAGGAGTCTGAAAGGAAGGATACAGCCTTTGCTTAAATGAATTAATATGAATAGAAGTTTCCCCAAAGAATGATTTCTCTGCACAAGATGCACAGAGTTCCTGGCCTCCTTCATTCTGGAGATGGACTTAAAAGAAGGCTCAAGTTGGCTGACAGGGACTTCACAGAGGCACCTTTCATGACAACCAAAAGCCTTTTTCTCCTGCCATGTCTGTAGCAAGGAGCTGAATCAAGTGCAGGAACAGCGGCTATGAGTGCAATGGCTGCATGTGCCCTGTTTACCTCAGCTCCACCAGAATTAAATGCTAAAAACAATGTTTCTTTCAAAAGAAGCAATAAATACTCACTTTCCAAATAAGTAAATATGCACTACTAAGCTATTGCTGAGCAAATTATAACGCGGTATTTTAACAGCTGGGTACTGTGATGCATTTTAATGCAGTCTGGAAAACCAATGAAAGGAGCTGTGCAATTTTCCTCTATTTTGGGGTGCTAGATCAGTGTCTAGAATTGCCTGCTCCTTTGAGATGACAGGGAAGATATAAAAAAATCCCCACAAAGAGAATAGAAAGTTCTAGCAGGCTTTCAGGCCAGAGGTACAGTCTTTTTATGTCATTGTTCTAATGCACACATCAAAAAGGATGCAAAGTAAATGCAAGTGTTTTCCGATGCTGACATAGTCTAAAAATACTGTGGCCTATTCTCTCAAAAGACTTATCAGTTGCTCAAGAAAAGTTTCTGGTCCTTTGAACAAGGAAATGTAGCATCAAGTAAAATCTACCAGATTCATTTGATCCTGTTAGTGTACTGCTGCATAATGTGCAAGGGCGTAGACATAAAACGTGTGATGCCACTGCAGTCGCCTGTGAACTCACCATTGCACGTGATATGTCAGTGAGTCTTTTCTCTGAAAAGGTAAGTGCACAGCACTAAGAAAGCAGTAGGATCTGGGTACAGCAATATTTTCTCTGGAGACTGAAGGGAGGCAATTGGCCACACAGTGATTAACCAGAGCGTTGACTGCACTGGATGGAAACTACTCCCAGAGAGTTTAAAATCTTTCAATAACAAATGCCAAACTTCTCTATTATAAACCAAAGTTGTTTTGGGTTTTCCAATGCACACACACATTTTCTTATGTACATAATTTCATATAACAAACATGGAACTCCAAATCTGAAAACAAATCACAAGTGAAGCATGAGGGCATTGCATCAGATAATCAAAAATGCAAGATTGACTGCTGTAAACTACATATTTACAGTAAAATTTCATACAGGATATCCCCTTTATAGGCTTGGGTGATCTGGCAAAACTCCAAACAGGTACTAGAGCATCCACAATTCAGCCTCTTTCATTATGAATGTGTAACTTGCAAAAAAGCAAGTGAAAAACGTTAGCTTAAGAACAGGTATATGTGTTGCATTTGGAAACTTGAACTGCATCCTTTTCTTTTTTTTTTTCAAATTCAATGCCATTTATTGTGTATTTTTGCATTTTTTTTAATTCTGGCCCTAAGCCCAAGTGCTGAAAATAAAGCAAAGAAGGTTGAATTTGCATCATTTCTGGGCAGAAAAGAAACCTCCCAAGAGAGCCTGATCTGTTTGCAGACTCAAATCAGTCTAAATCACTGGGGGTCAGATAAATCAATTCTCATTTACCTATTAATAGTCTCTATCTATATATAGTAAAATATTTTAAACTCAGGAAAGTCTTCTCTGTGGGTAAACAATATGCTCCACAAATTTCAGCTTACAAATCATGCTGCAAGAAACAAATAAAATCATTAACAGAGAAGATATCTGGGACACTAAGCTGGAACACTCCGCGAATGATTGTCTTGTGTTTACTATAATCAGCATACTTTACATAGAACAAAATGAAGAGAGATTACAATTAAGATAAACTATTAGTCTGAATCTGTTTAAAATAAAATAATCGACCTAAATTTAAATAATACAGGATCAGCTAAAAAGGAGCTTTCATAAAAAAAGAATATGCATTTGGACTGAGAATATTTCCCAGTTATTTTCATGCTAATTGTAATCTTCAGGAAGAGAACTCTTCAAAATGGGAACTATCATGAAAATGCTGACAGACACTCAGGCGTTATGGTAGTAGCAAATTGTAGAAAGCTCTTAGGGTTGTCAAACCTTTCATTCCTGCTCTTTTTTCTTTTTTTTTTCTTTTAACCAGTTCTCTGCAGCTAATGATTCATTATTGCCACAGAAATACACAGTTGATCACCTACAGTTTTTTAATGTGTGCAGACTTCAACTGCATGCATTTCATAGCTGGTTCAGAGAACACTAAGAACAGCATTTTTGGGTTAGAAATGGAATGGAGTTTCAACAAGTACGACCTTAAAGCTGCAGCAGCATTTGTTGCACACACACAAGATGAATCTCTGTGCCTTTCTGAGCTGGGGAGAACTTTGCCAGCAACACTGCCGATACTTGCCAGCTCCCACAGGTTGAGAAAATAATAGCTCTTTTTTTTCTGGTTTGATGAACAAAGTGTAAGAGCAATTACATCATTTAATACACAGGTAAATCAATGGCACTTGACAACTCACAGCAAACAGCATGCAGGGAGAGAGAGAAGAGGTGGGTGAAACACAAAAAATTCCTTTTGTTCAAGCTGAAGCATTTTATTTGATCTGAAACAAAACATTTTGTCTACTGCTTATTTTTCAGTTAAGAAAATATTAATTTAAAGAAAATGTCATTTCAGAATAAAAATGTTTTCTTTGAAAAATATCCAACGTTTCAGACTTTTCAAATCTTTTGTCAGATTTTTCCAATCAATTTATGCACTAAGTTGAATCTGAAGCTCCAATACTTTTCCTTTGAAACCACATTTTCCTGAAATTTTCAGGCCTTGTGGGATCACAAATGTAAAGGCCATAGGAAAGCTTTCCCTGAGTCTCTCAGACCAGGGAATTCCAAACCTTTACTAACCCGCCTGTGAGTTGGGACTTCCCAAAAGGAAAACTTTTATTCTTTACATAGTTAAAGATCTGGACTAGAAGAACTCTAGTCCCTTCTTTCTAGTCCTCATAATAGTCTGTAGATGAAAGGACAGATCTGTGTGTACATAAGTGCTTCTCCAAAAAAGAGTAACTCAACTAACAACATGGCACACAACACTCCCTCTCACTTTCCTGCATTATGTCTCTCATTCTCTGTCCAGAAATTGTCTACTTGAGTAGTAGAAGCTTGTCAGGAGAGGGCTTTCATTTCCATGAACCCAGCACATTAGCCAGGCAGTGATAGTAATTCTGCCTGCCTCCCTCAGCATCGCCTCCTAACAGAATACATCATCCTTATCTTGTCTGAGCATTTTGTGACCATCAGTTGACTTCTGTGGGTGACAAATTAACCAGCAGGAAAAAATAAGGCTGCAGTTCAAAATGTCTCCATTCACTTCTTTCCATGCCTCCAGAACAAATAAGACTATTTCTACTTTAAAAATGGAGAAGAAAAAACAACGACAAACATATTCTACAAGCTGAGCGTTATGAGACACCTGCAAACTGTTCTGCAGTGTTGCCTGAAGAAGAAAAAGAACCAACTCACAGGTGGCTGGGAGAGTAAGATTTATGCCTGAAAATACTTCTTTGCCACGGCAGAGAGAGTGTTGGAATCTGCTGTGAGCTCCTTTGATAATTAGGTTCAACTGACAACCATGCAGACAGGCTTAAAGACTCTGATTCCTTCTTTAATAGCGCTGGTTTGATTTAGATGACATTTTTATTACTGCTGTGAAAACCCCACCTGGTAGGCAAGGTCTCTTTCTCCTTTTCCCCCTGTTCATTTCGAACATTTGGAGATTTTAATTCTAGGGAAAGCAAAGAGGCAGGTGTGTGTGTGTGGGGGGGTATTGCCTCTGAGTCCTGCAGTGCTGATTAGTTATTTTTTATTATGAGGCTCTGTAACAAGGTCTAATAAATAACAAGGAGCTCAGAGCTATACATTTATTACTCATGGTGAAGTCTGCTTACCAAAAAATCAGTTCCATGGGTTTAACAGAAATGCTCAAGTCACTGAGTGCAATTGCATCCTTATTTCAGTGCTTTTGTAACAGCACACTAATTGACTGCCAACTATGCATGCTAGGGGATGCAAACTAGGGATGGATGTTTTGTACTCCCAAACTGCATTGATCTGCAAACCTGCACTCTCATCATATACAGCAAATCCAGTGATATAATGGATGGGGCCAGTCCAGGGTAAGGACAGCACCAAAAATTCAGAGTACTACTAAATCTGTGTACTAATTTAAGACAGGGAAAGCAGAGTTAAAATGTTAGCTATCTGCCAAAGGAACAATCCACAGAGTATCTTGGTCTGGGTGTAACCATTCCCAATTACTTGGGGGTTTCTCAACATTAACAGAAACATGCTGGTTTCCCCACAGAAGCAAACTGATGGGAAAAGCATCTAACCATCAAGTTCACCTTGTTTCATCAAATTTGAAACATACATGTCATGTTTAGAAATCCATCAATAAATAGGACTGGGTGAAAGGCTTGTGCTGGCTCAGGGCGCTGACAGAACAGTTAGGGCTGCTTAGTTTCCCTGAAGCAGCAAACCTGTAATGGCCCACATGAGCAAAAGCTGTTACTATGAACAAAAAATCTGCAGAAAGTTACTACTGCAGTTGCCATAGCTACTTCTAAATGAAAAAAAAAAAAAAGAGAGAGGGGGGTGGACTGTGGCACTGCTGGTAATGATACAGTAGATTTTGGTAAATGCTCTGCTCTAATGCTGGCTGTGGTGCACAGGAGATTAGGTACATGGTAAGTAAATTTGTCAAAGAGAAGATTCACTGAATTGCAACGTGTCTGTAAACTGAGTCAAAGCATTTTAAGAGTGAGAAAAAGGTGTTGCAAAATGATACATGAATGTGTAATGAGATGGCATAATGGAGGACAAATACAGCTTTTTCAAACTCAATTGCACTAATAAATGCACACAAAGCTAAAGTTTTGAACTGTGTTAAAGCTGGCAAGCTCTTTAAATACAAACCTCAAACTGTCCTTCCGACGCAGAGGAAGAACATGACCAAAATCACTGTTGATATAGATACACCAAAGAGGACATAATGTCGTTAAATGCGGATGACTTGCAATGGCAGAAGTTTCCAGTAATTGTATTTTGTGGTCAGAAGCCCAAAAGAGGATTGTACACTTAAAGCCGTTCTGGCAATATATGATCAATTTCATCTGTATGCAACTGAACTGCAATGTTAGGTTGGTTATTTCAGTGCATCTTAATAACTAGTGGCTAAATGACTGAACTTCAAGTTATTAATCCAGTAATAAAGCAAAAGAATCTGCCTGCTCTCCAAAATCACTTTTACAAGAAACAAACAACTCAGAAATGAGACAAAAAAAAAAGTGCAATGGAAGGTGCAAAGACCTTGGCTTTCCTTATAATTTATATTCATTGTGTCTATAGGAGCTGGGAATGCCTTGTCCATGGTATAACCATAGGTTAGTCTTTGCTTCAAGACTAACGGGTAATTATTAAACAAGGAAGACAAGAAGATGCCATTAGGCGCAAATTCCATGAAAGGTCACAGATACAAGTGTTTGTTTTCTTTACAACTGGTACAGCAAAAGATAATCAGCATCTGGAAGAAGCCAAGCACAACTTGGATGTTGGACATCCTTACACAGCCACTTCCTTCTCTCCTTTAAGTGATAAGCATGGAGGAACAAAAGCTGCCTTTTGAAAGCCCTGGTTAAGGCATACTGAGAGCTGTATCACAGGCAGACAACACATTCAGTAGAAGAGAAAAAGTATGGTGACTTTGACAGGAGGCCATTCATCTTTAAGATTAACACTGATGCTAAAATGAAAGTTATCTTGCCAAGGACTGCCACAAGGGGCAGCTGTAGTGGACAGCATAGTTTCCACACAGGGGTGAATCAAATCCCAGAACACTCAAGGGAAGACTCAGCTACCATCAGGGCAATTTGATAACAGATTTCCAGGCACACAGATAGCTTCTACGTCTTTAGAGTTTATTCACTAGAAAGGCAAGCAAGCAACTCACGCTGTCCTGGCCCCAGGTCATTCATCACTCTTCAGACAGAAAACTACTTCCACTTTCAATTAAAAACCTGTTTAAAAAAACACCCAGGAGGCTTCTGGGACATACCACGTTTTTAGCAGTAAATATTCCAAAAAGTACCTGACTTCGCCTTCTCTAATGTGACCTTCTAATTCTTCTATGAATTTTTCCCCTTTCATCCAGTAAATCATGGGGCCTGATTCTCCACTGAATCCAAAGAAAGCTTTGCAGGCCACAGTCAGCGGGTTTCCTGAGGACAAGAAGAAAAGAGAGGGTCAGACACTTTGTCAGAGCTACTAATGAGAAAACAATTATGAGAAATCTCAGCACCTCAGATAAACCTCTCCAGTTAAAATCGGAGGGAAAGAAAAACCCAAAATAACCATAGGAAATAGGTTGTTGATGTTGATTTGCATCTACAGGAAATAGCTGTGAAATAAAACTGAAGTTATCTGTAATTCCAGTTTTTTTCCCAGAAAGATACTACATGAACAATGAAAAAGTATGGAAATGGTGGCAACATAAGGTGATGTCAGATTGATTGTTAAAAAGAAAGAGATGATCTCTTTGTCAGCCTCATGGGATCTCTACCAAGACTGGGGAGTGTGCCCTAAGCGGCACGTAAATCACTAAACTTGCTTATGGTTGCCCATCCACCCACAGGAAAGACACAGTAATAATTTCTTCCTTGTTTAGACAGAAATGAAATGCTAATGAAGTCTTGGTAAGCTGTTCAGAGAGCTTTTAAAGATCCCCAAGTAATATATGATGCCAGTGAGCACCAACAACACTCATGCTACTGTCAATAGGCTTTGGCAAAGGACCAAACTTCAATGCAATAGAGTAGAGAACAATAGTGTTCAGGCAGTAGAGTACAGAACTCTTCCTTTCAGCTTTGCAAGAATACTTCCAAAAGAAAGAAAATAAAACTTGGAAACCAATCAGATTTCTTTTCTCTCCAAGAATTCAGCATTTAGATGTATTTTGTTTGGCTACAGCTTTAGATGTACTAGCTAGTTCAGGACTGTGCTTACAATGCCAGGACAGATGGTTGTCTGCCTGCAGAAGACAAAAAATAAAAGAACAAAAACCCCTCAAAGAAGCCAGGAAATGCAGAAGAACCATGCCTATTCCCTCAGTATGCAAATACAGCTGCTGCACCCACTTCTCTTTGTCTGTTCTTTATAGCATAGGTGGTCCAGGTTACAAAGCAGCTGTAGAGTCACCAACTTAAATGGGAGGATAGACTTCATTTAGCATCAGTGGAGACACCTGCTGAATCTTCCAGCACTTGGATCAAGCATGAAAAGTCATCCTAATGCATTTTACTGTATTTGGAAGAGATGGTTTATTATGCCAGCCATTCTCAGTGTCAGCAGGAGACTCTTTTGACGCTGAAACCGAACGGGCCTATACTCTTCAAAAAGGGCTAGTCATTTGGAGCACCTCACTTGGTTGAGCACGGGCTAATGGTTTCACCTGATTGTCTTACGGTGCCCTACTCAGCTACCTCTTGTCTGCTCAAAAGTGATAACTTGCTGTGGGCGCACTTGGAGCATATCTGAGCTGTGTGTCAAAGCATCTTTGCCTAAGCCCTCATAGAGGTGTCCTAAGTCAACTAATCGCACTATCCATTATTTCAGTGCCCAATTTAAGACATGTCAAAAGAGTCTGATTAGACAGGAAGTGCAGCACTCCCAGCCACTGAAAATCAGACGCCTTTAAATTCCTTCCAAGTCAAGATCCAAAATTACAAGTCCTTTTGAAACACTAGGATACAGCAAGAAAAGGTTTAAAGACTGCACTTCAGTCTGTTTCTTAAATAGCAGAAGACAAAAATGGAAAATGTTTATCCTGAAAATGTTTTACAGACTCTTTCATTATCTCCACATTCACTATGAACTCTGGTACCACAGCTGGCCACTGAACACATGCTGATGCTGACAGATTATACACAACCAGCTCAAACATCCCAAATATAAGAATAGGGGACATTCACAGTTATCTGTACACCCACAACACTGACCACCATCATAAGAAAGTTCCAAACTTCACTAACTGATGAAGAGGCAGAAACACTTCTAGGCAGGTATTTAGTTCCACTACAAGATGATATAGCAGAACTCTGTTTCCTTCTGCTCCTAACCCACTCACCCAGCCTTGTGAGGTGCTGGGTGCCCTCCATGGTGGGAAGGGAAAATTGGAGCCTCAGGCTGTTTCCATCTCATGTTCTTCTAAAGTGCTGAATGACGATGTAACGTGAGGTGTTTTGTGCCACTTGCCTCAGAGTCATGTTACACATTTGCTTAAATACCACTTGGTGATCCCTAGCATGTGGCTGCTCAGTCCTTGTCTGATTTTAATGGAAATAGACAAGTGTAGCAACCTGAAAAAAGGAGAGAGCTAGATGTGGCCTATCAAGACTGACAGTATGTGCCTTTTTCCTGGCATACCATGCTGGGCACTAAGTGCTACAGGCAAAATATATTACAGGGTGTGCTCTTCCTCAAACCAGGAGTTTTTACTTAAAAAACCAACCCTGAAGAAAGGAAAATATTCCAAGGTGAGTGTAAGATTTCTATACATGCAGAGTAAATATCCTGAGGCAATGCGTCTGATCTGAAGAAATAAGTTTTCTATACAAACAGGAAAACCTAAAAAAAAAACCACCCAGCTGTTGGTACACAGCTTCTGTAATAAACAAACTCAATATAAGGCATCAGTAGCCTTTACTGTGACAGCCTGCATGCTGTGAACATGCCTGGGCAAATCCATTTCCCATCTTTGCCACCAAGGGAAACCTGGTGGGAAAACCAGAGTGAATTAGCGTTTTCAGCTCAAAATCTGGGACTGGCCAGATTTTGAAAAACCCACAGTTCAGCTCATCTGCAAGCCAATCACTGATCAGAGGGAGGAATATGTAGCTGTTTCACATGGAACAGCTATCTTTTATCTCAGTAGCAGAATGATGCATGTCTGAGACGATGCACAGATCTGAGCTGATCTGTTCTGGGGTGGAAAGAGCTCGGGGCTTGATGACACTTCAAGGTCCTATTCAAACCCAAACTCTCACACATGCTGGTAAGGACATCATGCTCTTCTGTAGCTCTCTGAAGCAGCTTCTGGTTTGTAACTCATCATTCAAGAAACTTCTTCTCAGTGAGGGTGACGGAACACTGGAACAGGCTGCCCAGGGAGGTTGTGGAGTCTCCTTCCCTGGAGACATTCAAAACCCAACTGGACACATTCCTCTGTAACATTATTTAGGTGTACCTGCTCCGGCAGGGGGATTGGACTAGATGATCTTTTGAGGTCCCTTCCAATCTCTAGCATACTGTGATACTGTGTGATACTGTGATTCGTGACTCTGGAAGCAGGACAAAAGCAGAAAAGGGAACACAGGCTCTTCCTTGCAGAAACACTTTACTTCCTCAAATAAGCCTCTGTAATGAATGTAAGGGACGTTCCCCCTCTTGTGCCATGTCAAGGCACAGCTGTCCACAGCTGCAGACTGACTACTGGTTTCCAGGGAACTTCAACCAATTTCTATCCAGAAGAGAACATGGCATGTCTCACTGCATTTTCCCCCCCAAGTACTGAGATCCCGAAACTGCAGCTGAATTCCCTGGATCCTAAATGTTCTCTTGAATATGGGGAGAAACAGGCACTGAGCATGGAAAGTGTCCTTTGCAGGTCCTGATTTTGGGGCTGGCTTTGAGCCATATGGTATCACACTGAGTCACAGTTCAAGGCAGAAGGAGCTAACAGGCAATTAGTAACTCCAGCAACTAATCTTCTGTAAGGCCAAACTTTTGCATATCATTACTGATATTCTGCATGACATTTCAGTTCCACTACTAATTGTTCTTATTAAGAAATATTCCCCTTGCATCATTTAATTAACATCATCAAAGTTCCTAGAATGAATGGCATCCTGAAAGTTTTCCATTTATAAAATACACATTTCAGTTGCAATTTTAATTAATAAACTAATTTGCTGAGAAACAGGGAAAATGATTAGTGAGATTTCTAATGAAGCAACAGTGAGAAGAATGTTTTAAGAAACAAGAGAAGAAAGTAGAAAAGCCTGCTTGTAGACATTACGGAATCTACTGCTTTGCTGGGGTCACCTTGTCACAGGAAAGCCTCAGGTTCCAGCAGAATCTCTGCTTTAGCTTTCTTCCCTACTGTGTCAATCACACAGGCTTTTTGCCAACTCCCAGCTGATAAGACACAACCACTGGCAATAGGGATGACTTTTACTGCTAAATCATACTGTACATTTTTCACCTGACCATTTCCACACTATATCTGTGTGAACTCTACCATACATTTCAATAATCTTTTTTTTTTTTTTTTCCTGAAAATGAGAACTGCACAGAGATCCAATTATTCAAGCAAAATAGCTTCCCGGTGGCAGTAGGAGCACTGGCTAAGGATGGAAAAGGGTCTGTAACAGAACGTTGTCAGGCACGATTCTGAATGTGCTTACTGCGGGTCTGACATGTTTTGAAAGAGAATGACAAATCCTGCAGCACAGTGTCTCTTGAATGAGGCATGCTCCAAGCACTGACTAAATGAAGCTTAAAATAGTTGTTCAGTCTTTTAAAAACTTAGATGCCAAGGCTACGTGACTGATCAGCACGGAAGACAAAAGCTGCTCACAGATCCTAAGATCTGGCTAACACCAAGGCATGTTTTCAGGCATTTTTTTTTTAATACAGTTTGATTATTTGTTTGTTTTCAGTCATTTTGCACAAGTAGCTACATTTTTTTGCTTATCTGTGAGCATTCACTCAAGGGTGCAACACAGAATTCAGATTCTCTGATGTCCACATTCTGGTGCTCTGTTCTTGCAGTAAATCAGGCTTTCACTTATGGAGCAAATAATCCCAGAGCAAAACCATCAAACAGCCAAAGTAATCTATGAATCCTTGGGTGGTTTTCCCCTCTGGCTTGAAACATCAATGGGTTGTCCAATCCCTTCACATTTTTGCGCCAGATACACCACCATTCTGAACAAGCCTGAATTGAAGGAGATGATCTTGCCAAGCTACTGGCAGAACTGACTGACAGTGTCAAAGGAAGACCTCCTTTTGCATCAAGCAACATCAAGTCAATCCTGCACATGTTGCTAGTTGGATTTACAACTTCATCTCCACCTGGGTGTTAATACCACTGACTGTAATATCATTACTTTTACCTATGCCAGGGCTGGATACTGTATACACGTAGAAGGAAAGACAAGTG